GGTCTGATGTACATGGCAATTTTGGTGAGTTTTCGAGTATGTTTAGGGCCTCAAAAACGCGTGTCTTTGGCACGAATAATAATAATAATCCGAGCAGTTCCAATAGGGTCTTCGCACCCTTTTGGGTGCTCGGACCCTAATAAAAATCAGCCTGGCATTTAAACAACCCTTTATAATAATCAGATATTTATCTCAGTTGTTTGTGACCTCCCAAAGTATTTAAAGATTCTTTAGGATTAAACACTAGATGAAGATGTGCTGCCTGTATGTTATGTTTGCAAAAAAAAAAAAAACTAGCACCAATAAATGTCAATCTGCAATGTGAAATGTTCATATACTACATTAAAGAAGTCCTTTAAAGGCACACACTCATCCTGTGGAAATAAATAAAAGTCTGTCTAGGATCAAGATCTCTGTTTGAGCACAAAGAAGGGCTTGATGAAACACTACACCAAGAACTGAGCAGGAAAGTGTGTAATCTGTTGCATCTGTACAGATTCTAATATAAAGCAGATTAAGATAAAAGCAGATAAAGCAGAAAAAATGCAAAAAAATAAACACAATACCGACACAAGGATACCACAGAAATTGTAATCTTGTAATTCAATGTATTCACATTACAACATCCACATGGTTCAGTTTGTGACAACGTCTAATGATCTTCAAATATATTCACTGTATGATACATAATACCAATATAGGCACTTCCAGTAAGTCTGGCAATATTGAAGCTACAGTATAGTGTCTAAATTACAAAATGGTAAAAATAAATAATGTATATCTAAAAGAGTTTTTGTAGTTTTAAAATTTCTTTACTGTACAGCATATATGTATATTGTACAAAATGGAGCATCAACCTGCAAGGAAATTAATTATTTTACGTTCACAAATACTGTGTATTTGGACATATTCTTCCTTAGTACATGTGGTAAGTGCAAGGTACTAGTGAGAAGAAAGCAATTCATTATTTAATCATGTGTCAACTATATAAAAATACTCATCTCATTTTGTTTACATAATTGTAAAGCTTGTTTGGTTCCCATGGTTACACTTATTGTACACGTGTGAATAAGCATGACAATCAAATAAAAACAAATTAAGACATAAAAAATACAAAACTGATATACTGTATCAGCTCAAACACAAGTACTGACTCCAAACAGATGTAGCCACGGGGCAAAATTCACACACTGTCCACTGTAGGAGACCGTGATCGCCGACAACAGTGGACAGAATCGAATTACCTTTAAAGATGAGAGATGCTGTGCCATGAACGCTCTGCTACTTGTGCCAGTGAGGCAAAGCAGATCAAAGAGGAAGCGCAAGGAGAAATATGCTATAGGACCTTGTGTGAATAACAATTTCATCTGAGCATCTGTGAAGAATTGAACTACTTACTGCATCACTTTGCCCTTCATTACTTCACCGTCTCTGCTTGTGAGGAAAAGTAGCATCCCTCTCTCCCCCGACAGTACAAGATAACTAAATACAGGACAGAGTCACATTAGAGGGGCCGATGGAAGAATTCAAAGAAACCACTGCTGTCTTGCTCTCGCACGTACACTCTCTACACTACTGTATATATACATTCACGAAGCAGGACTGTTTTATTGGGGTTGCAATTACGTAAGTGTACTAACCAAATAAATGGCTGAAAGAAAAAGGTGTTTGTCTAATTCTGGACCGCTTCAGTTAAAATGGCTTTGTTGTACTGAACAGCTTTCCTGTACAACATTTGGGTTATTTTGTCAAGCTAAATACAATGTGTCCATTGTGTGTGTAACAATGATTACAGCTCATTAGGGATGAAATGCACCAACATACAGAAAACCAGCATGCATGAGATGCAATGGGCAATGCACGATCATTTGAGGCAAAAAAAAAAAAAGGAGAAAGACTGCAGCTGTTCTGATTCAGTGGCTTCTAACAATTCGGGTCTGATTTACGGTTTGGGGTAAATGTCAGTCCAATGTTTTACTAATCAGTCTGTCAACCAATTACTGAGCTTTTGTGTGGACCTTCCTGCTCTGTGGGACGCTCAGTAGCAAAGGCAGGGCAGAAGTGAAACAGGCCACTGTGGATGCAGTGTTCTGTTCACCGCGGCCAGGAACACTGTGTGAGTACGTTGATGCGAGGATCTGCAAGGGTACAAGCACATGATGTTCTACATCTGTAACGCACAACGTAATTTCAATCAAGCTCCGTCATATGCATGTGCGCAGGCTGACGTGTGTTTAAAGAAATGAGATTACGGTGGAAGAGCAGAAGTGCAGCGTGAGATTCAGATGTACATGTAGGTCATGAGAACTCGACAAGATTAGTGGAAGATAATTCATTACATATGGCCTCGCTGCACTCGTGACAGAAAGTTGACCCGCCAGCTCAGTGTAGAGAGAACTCATTCAGCTCAAGAACTACTTTATTCTTTATAGTCACCTTTCAATGTGGATATCAGCGACTAAAGGAACATCCACCAGGCTCAAGTCAAACTTCAGTGAAGCTGGATATGTAATTGGTTTACATGACGGTTTGAAAGTTGGAGCTATTGTCTTCAAGTACACTGGAACAATAATTTGTTGAAGCTTATGAGTACCACTTTGAAAGAAAATGTGACTGTGTTCGACCACTAGACAAAGATGTTGCACAGAACATGACTGACAAGGTCTGAGCACCGTATGGGTGATGGGATGTGACAGATTTGATGTTTCACAGAAGAAAAACTGATAAAACAGTACAAACTGCAGCCATTATTGTTATGTAAAAACATCCCCTCCTGTATATCGCTTTCATTAAAGGAAGGAACCATCTTTTTTACCGGCATCACACAGCTACAGCAGCTAATTCTGGGCAACTGTTTCAGCTCTCGTCACCTTTCACCACCGCTACTGGATGAATATTTTGAGGCGTAGCTACGTCACCTGACAGACTAATAATTTGCTCACGTATCCTCTCCATAACAGATGTGCTCTATATTTGGCTGAACTACGTCCAACTGATGCACTCTGGAGTGGTGCCTGGTCTTAACTCAAAGATAATGAATGTCTCCCTGAGGTGCCAGCAGAGGAGTCAGACAGATTCAATGTGCAAAGATCACAGAAATAGTTGGAGGGGTGCGTGACATTAACGTCAGCCTCGTTCTCAGCCTTTTATGAACACGTTTTTAAACCGCTTTGTTATCTCTGTGTGTTTTTCACTTACTGCCCTCGCAAGTGACACACAAGATTTCACTGAAACTCAACAACTGAGGTTTTCCTGAGGATTCAAGATCAGCATCGTTTGCAGGATTTATGTAATGAGGAAGTCAGAAATTGATACTAAAGAAAAAGGACATGGTGTTGGTTAGTCTATCTACAGCCTTTTCAAAATAACTTTCATTTTGGGATTTTTACTTGATAGCTTAGTATTTATGATTCTGTATGATGTATTGAAATGAATGTTTACCTGCTTAGTTTTTCCCAATACTTATTAGTATTTGTTCCGTTTGGTCTTGTATTCAGCACAGATTCATTTCAACAACTCACTGTTTCTTTTGAGTGCAGGTCTCTTGAGTACAATGTTTGGGTACAGTGATACCATATTTGCCTGTATTTAAAATTAAAGTTAAACTGCTGAGCGTGTCTATGTCCTCTGCAGAGGAATTGTGCATATGAGCAAATTAATTAAAAAAACAAACAAACAGGTACACACAAATGAACACACGTATTAAGTGTATAAAGGAGCCTCGAGCCTCTGTGTGAAACTAAAGTGGCTCCACAGAACAGTGTGAAGTGCTTCATTTGGCCACAAATGTAAAACATATTATGAGTAAATATTTGATTTTGTATGCTGAAGCCCATGGGTGAGGGATTAATTTTGGCAGAAGATGAAAGGAAGAAAATTACACCAATGTTCCTCATTTGTTTGACTCCCTTTATAATCCTTGTATAGAAAAAAAAAAACATATCATGGCCCAGGTGAGGCCTCAAAAAAAAGCTAAAATTGAAACACAAGTACAAGTAACTGTGATGTCTATATATAACTGCATTCAGAAAGTAATTATATATAAATTGGCAGCAAATTTCTGCAGTCCTGTGTTACCACACTGGGTTGAAGCCTGTGCAACCAGGCTTTGCTCTTCTCTTGACAGTAGCAAAAGAGTCTGTATCCCAAAGTACACCAATAATCCCGTATTGCAATATGGAAAGCTCCTTTAAATGTTTGGTGAAACCGCATATTCAGATAAAATGTGTAAAGCACAATTTTTCCCACCCTGTTTTTTTTTTTTTTTTTTCTGTATAGGCACACATTTCCCAAACATCTACAGTGTTGTGTCTAAGTGATGTGCTGGCAAAAAACAGGAGTCAGTTGATTGGACAAGAAAAAAAGTAATACTTCTTCACATCCCTGTCCTGACTGATGCCAGATTTCCCCTGGGATGTTTCACTGTGGGTCCCCCTCCTCTAGTTCCTCGGGAGGTTTAGAGTTGCCCCTCAGACACTCGGGCCACTCTGGTTCCTCCACTTCCTCCTCTGGATCCTCTCCTTCTACCACCTCCTCTCTGCTGCCTGACTCCTCCTCCTCCTCGTGAATGGCCAGTATTGGTTCAGCTACATTGTTTAAATGGACAGACTCTGCTCCTTGGCCTTGTTTCTGGGCCTCCTCTGCAATCACCTTCTTCCACATCTCGTGGTTCTCCAGTAGGTGCTGGGTGATCTGGCAGAAGACTTTCCTCCTCTTCTTGGGAGTGGCTTTTTCTGGTAGAAAAGAAGAGATCTTGATTAAAAACTTTGGATGTGGACTGAAAATTTACTGTCTAGCCTCCACCTGATCACTCACCACTTTTACAACCTTAAAGGATTTTTTTCTTTCTGTTATTTTGCTAATTAAATGCAAAGTATTAACCCTCATTTCCCCAAACATTTTGTAGGCATTGTTTGCTCCAGAGGCTGCAAGGTGGCTTGGTGGTTAGCACCATTGCCTCACAGCAAGAAGGTCACCGGTTCAATGCAGAAAGATCCTGGTGTCTTCATCCCGGTGTGAATGTGAGTGTGCTTGGTTGTCTGTCTCTAAGTGTAGCCCTGTGACAGACTGGTGACCTGTCCAGATGAACCTGCCTTCACCCTAAGTCAGCTGGGATAGACTCCAGCCCCCCACAACCCTATAGTGAGGATTAAGCGGTCTGTAGATAATGGATGGATGGATGGAAATGGCAGTAATCGCACAGCCATTTTCTTTGAAGAACACTTATTGCAGTTTAGTGAAATACTTCCTGAATTTTTGTCATGTGACTGTTGGTCATACCTGAGTTGCTAATGGCTTTACACTTGCCCTGAGGAATGCAGAATTTTTGTGTTTTTACAGAATTTGTGAAGCGCAAACAGTTTGTTTTTGGTGAATTTTTGAATGAGACGTGAATTAGATGCAATATCATGATTTTAAGCTTTGATTTGATTTGTTTTCTTAGGACTGTCAGAAAGTATTTAAAACTAACTCCTGTTTTTACAGTTCCCTGCTCTGATAAATTGTACCATTTTTGTAATATTTTTAAAGACAACATAAACATCTCATACCCCCCGGTGGGTCTTGGGCTTCAGAGGGTTTAGTAATTCCCCATGTAAATGTAGGAATGCAAATGTTTCCTAGTAATGAGACATTATTATAGTCAAGTCAGTTTTTTGCCATCACATTGTCAACACTTGAGTCATAAAAGATTTTTTTTTAAAAAGAACTGCTCATTGATTTTAGCAATGATTTTATGTATTTCCCTTTGGATATAAATCTTTAATGTGTGGGGGTTAAAAATACTGAATACATTATAAATACACTGTATAGAGGATTACTCAAACATCCCTTTGGCTTTCCAACAAGCCTTTATAACATGTGCTGGTAAGTGGCTCTCTAATCCAGTTTTGAAATGCAGTGTTTTTAAACTACAAACATCCTCAAAATGAATTCATTTCCCAGTATTCAGAAGAGGAACAACTGTTTAATGTTATTACTATTAAGACAGTAAATGTCCTGCAGCATGTCACATAATCCTCTAATATCCTCCGTACATGGATTTGATCATATCCATAAAAAAGAATAAATGGAAATCAGACAACTGCACTGTGTTCAGTCTGAATGCTTCTGATCATTTCCAGGTTGTCCTCGAGCCTCGACTGTAGCTTTGTTGTAGACTACAATGCTTACGTGATGCTTCTGAGCTGGTGGATGTGTCTTCCTCGGCGGTATCCTCCTCCTCCTCCTCCTCCTCCTCCTCCTCATTCTCCACTATCTCTGGCTCCTCTGCCTCTGGGTTGGGCTCCACCCATCGTCCGGGCATGAGGCAGGCTGAATCATACGAGTTACAAAGCGGTCCAACGATGTGTGTGATGAACGATTCTTGGAGTTTGGCCAGCTGTGGTGCTGCTCGATCCATGAAGGGGCTGATAGGAAGGCCCAGGCTGGACTCCTCGTCACCCTGCAGAACAAACAAACAAACAAAAAAAGTGCATGAGCCACACTGGTGCAAAATTATCCCAAAACATGGCATGACTCACATTTCACCACACATAACATCCCTTACTTGTTAACAATTAGGGATGGTTCTGAGTCTTAACAGTGTAAGAATTAGCAGTTTTCTGCCTACTTCATCCAGAGAGATGAAACCACAGAACATTATTTACAGCACGGCCATCAGTCAAAACAAACAGTATGACGGGTGCAACAAAAAAGAGACACTTTGGCGGTAAAGCTTTGAATAAACCAATAGTTCTCCAACCTGGTTCTTAACATATATACTGATCAAAAATGTAAGAGAATACTTCATTCTTATTTATTAAACTACACAGTGTATATCAATGACTAGGCAGTGGGAAACAAAATGACTAACTCACTGAGGGGGGGATTAACATTCACTTAAGCTTCATAACAACATGGATTGATATCTCAGAAGTTTGGTTGAACTGATGTTATACTGTGATGATTAAGTGTTCCCTTAATTTTTTTGAGCAGTATATTTAAATCCAGCTGTCGCTCTGTGTCCTAAAGACAAGGATGACAAACTACAGGCATAGACTCGATTATACCAAGACAGCTGTTGCCCACTTTGAAACCAATTATTAGTCCTTCTCTTAGATGCTACTTTCTAAGAAGCTCTTCATCAGTAAAACAACAGAACCAAAACCTAATATGTCATTAGACTGTAAACTGAATTGAACAGAATCAAAAGTATCCAAGACAGTCATTTCTAGACAAGAGCCAAAAGAAAAGCGCAGCATGCGTGCTGTCTATGACGTCTGTATGGATGTGAATGAATAACAGCTACAGCAAGGTTTCCTGGTTGCCTTGGTAACTGCCCCCAAGTGTCATCCCATACCCTATACAGTAGAACGTCTCTGTCTCTGCAGAGCAGCGACATACTAATTTAAAGCACAATGAGATTCATTGAAAGATTGGATCTCAGATGGATCTGCAATTTGATGGAATTTCTGGACAGTTAAGTAGACGAGGAGCTCTGAGATCCTGCTGTCACCATGACGACGTCCTAACAGCTGGGTGTCTGTGAATACAGTGGCCAGGTGTATTCTAACCAAGCTATCCAACTGACTACAAGTTCATAGTTTTGGGATAAAACTTAAGCTCCATTATCTGTCGGCCCCTGCAGGCCCAGAGCTTTATCTAGAATAAAAACATTGATTCACCCAGATCCTGTTTCATACATCATCATTTCAGAAAGCCTGTCAGCAAGGTGAATAAACCTCATCCTCAAGGGTCTGTCTGCATGTTTTCTTGTGCTGCATGTGGAAGTGCGTGTGCATTGCGCTGTGTATCTTCTGTATACATGGCTGAACACATTCATTATCTAGGAGGACATGTATTGCTTTGTTGGCTGCTTTTTTTTCAAGGGTGTTGGACTTTCAAGACTGTCAAGTGTAATCAGAGGCTGCTGCCCAGCCTGAATGACAGTTGCCTGGGTACCCTGCTTGCGTCATCACATCTAGCATCACTAAAACTATTGTCACTGAAGAGCGTTTCTCCTCCGGAGCTCCTGCACTTTGTGTCTCCCCTCATAGACCTCAAAGAGGCTTGTAACAAGCAGCCTGTGTCACCTAGCCTGAACATATTCTGCTTGACCCAGAGGCAATTAGCAAAGATTAACAGCCATTCTGTGCCAAGAGGACATACTGTGACAAAGGTCACTGAGGGTGGCATTAGGCCGCAGGCATAACTAGGTTCTGTTTGCTATTGCAGCACTGTATATAAAAATGAGGCCATGATAGCATATGATTCATACCAGCGACAATAAAGCCACGTATGTGAGCTGTGCAGCACATATGAATCATTAGCCTGTTCTTAGAGTAGAACCTACAAGATATCATTACTGTCTCTGCTGTTCTTCACTAAAAGGTAAATGTAATGGAGCCTTACTATGTAAACGCAGATTATAACTGACCTAACTCAATAGAGACATAAATCTTGTCAAGGAATTATGACAGATCCTCACATAGTAGCAGCTCTCAGAGGGAGCACTGCCATTACTATCTCAATATGTCAAAGGGACTGAATGAAAAATGAATTAAGAGAGCAAAATCAATTGTGCCTGACATCCAAAAGCCTATGTGGAAGAAAAAAATAAAGAAGGGAGGACTGTATTTTAGCATCTGCACTTGCTTCTATGCGTTGGGGGGCAAAATAGAACGACGTGACGTAAAACACCACAAAACCACAATTAATCTTGTCATGCTGTTGTACTTCATTTAATTTGGAGAAAAAAACATTGTGAGTAGTTGAAATATATTGTTGATGTGTGTGTGTGGGTTAGATGTGCAGAATGAGGGCATTGCTACAAACTCCACTACTGAGGAGGTAAAAATTCAGTGACTGGAATTCTAGATCTATATTTAGGATTTTTTTGTTTGTTAATTTACTGAATCCCACGACAAGAAATCAGCAGTGCTGATCCTATTTGTTTCCAAAAGATTTAACTCTAAAACTAAGAATCACTTTCACCATTTAATAAATGTCTTGAAACAAACAGTAATAGTGCACTATGCTTTGCGTAAGGCAGATTTTATTTTGGAGTCAGTTTAGCTGTGCAACCACAACGAGGGATAAAAGCCACATTATGTTATTTTTTATCCATTAGTCATTAGACATTTTGTCCAACTGTGGACTGATGAATGTCTAAAACCTTTTGACATTACTGTACAACACATTCCAGTTTTATGAAAATGAACAAAAGTCTGTGTTTCTTGTGAAAAGCAAACAAAATGTCCTTTTTCTGTTAAAGAAGATGTAACCTACACTTCCAATCTAGTTTCATTGATTGGATTCCAGATTTGCTAATTCCTTCGGTTTTAGTTAATTAGTTTGTGCTGCTTTCATTAGCCTGAGGGTTCACATACATCGTCCCACCTGCACTGTGAAGGTTTAATTGATGTATTCCGTGCGGAGACAGACAATGCAATGACTTGTGTGTTTCTGGTTCAACAAGATTGTTTTGTGTTGTGATCTCACCAGATTTTAAGAAAAATGAACACGTGAATGCATTCCAAAGGGTTCTTTTACTTTGTTCTGCCACTGTTTGGCAGATGGAGCATGTGTCATCAATTCAAAATAAGCTCTTCATTCATCTGTGTTAACAGTAATGAAGCAATTTGTCAACCAGAGCAACAATATGGCTCATTTACTGTATGAACTTCAATCATTTGTGGACAATAAATGGAGGCTTATGGAATATAGTAAAATGCTATAGGAGGCTTTTGAATACAGATGCAATTATTAATAGTAGTATCAAAGACATAGAATACAACCAGACTTGATTGTGAATGCATGATGTCGGTGAGGTTTCTTTACAAGTACAGCCATACACATAATATAATTTAAATTACATAGCCTGCACATTAGTGTTTATATATACGCATCTAAGTCAAATTCTTGCTGACATAGATTTAACAATGAGGTTTGACGTCATCAAATCTAAATCAATAAAATAAATACTTTATGAATATATAAAATACATCAAACTGACCATACCACTAACAACTCATGAGATATTGTGGGTTGTAGTGTTTGGTATTATGCAGGCGAGGGTTGTTATGTTCCCTCCCGCACACAAACATGACAGTACACTGATCTTTAGTTTAGCAAATACAAATGAGGCCATGGTTCCCATCAGGGCCGGTGTACACACCTGCTCATAGAACTCGTTGACAATCCCCTCCGTCCACTGCAGATGTAGGTCCTTGCACTTCAGAGGCCCATTGATGTCAGCCAGTTTAATGCACATCTGGCAGACCAGCAACCTGTCATTCTCATTGGACCAGTCGATACCTGTAGATGGATCATCACCCACCTGGGGGATCAACAAACAGACATGCCGACATTTAGCGTACTCACACATGCTGGCGGACACAGTGTCTGATATGTAGATGTTATGTAAATGTAATGCCATGTGCTGGGCTGTTTAGAGATTGCATGTTTGTATTAATGTCTCGAGCACAACAATGCTGGAATGCACTGATGATAGTTTTTTGTCATGATGAAATGTGCTTTATTTAAAAAAGTAGAGGTTACAAACACAGTTCTTTAAAGGCACCTGTAGTATTGCTTCTTATACATTTATCTAAATGAAATCTCAGGATAAAATGTTTGCTAAACAACGTATTTCTAGAGACAAGGCACCACTTTAAAAGCTAATCTCTGCGCTGTTTGGAATTCCTCTTTTCTAGTGACTGTCTGCCTAATGAGCTTTAGATCTGGAGAATCTCAGGAAGCTGAGGAGATCAAGAACAAAACGTGATGGCTACTTCACAGAACGCTAATTTGCTTCCAGGAAGCGCAGAGCAGGGTACTTTAAGAGACATTGCTGTTGCTTTTGCAGCCAAGCCAATAAGCTCAATGCTAGCTGACAGGCCCTGGCCATTGAGCAGCACCACTGTACTAATACCCACAATGGAAAAACCCAGGACTCTCAAATCCAAAGCCAACATTTTTTTCTGCACTTAAATGAGTTCTTGAAAAGCTGCACAGTGCTTTGTGTTGCTGACTTGAGCTGAGCATATTGAAAGTGCTGCAATTTTTTTTTTTTGCACAAACAGACCAGTACCTCGAACACCACGGGATATTTCCTTTCCCCTGAAGCTCACTCTCAGTATTGTAACAGCTGAGGTATGAGGAAAGTACCTCGATTCAATACGCTTGACCCAAAAAACTGAATAATGTAATGTCTGGTTTTCAAACACCTGGTTTTAAAGACAGTAATCTAAAAGAAATATTTACATGCAATTGGTACACTTTATATTTGAAGACACATATTCATAACCCAGTGTTTGCACTGACTTAAATTCCCAAATCTCTGCTAAAAAGTGAGGATTTTGTCTATAAATTTTCAAGGGAATTAATCGCAATATGTATGAACTCTTTAGCTCTTAAAAGCTTGTCTTCTTTTATTCAGTTTAGAACACAAAGAACCAAAGTTACGCTATTACAATACCTTGGCATTGAACTCAGCTAGGAAGTCAAAGTGCTTCTTCAGGTCAGTGGCCAGTATGGCCTCGATGACCAGGAAACGGAACCGTTTGAACTCCACATGGTCCAGGTTGACCAGGAAGTTGTACTCCGGCTGTTGCATGAAAAGGTTCCAAGCTGAGGCAGCGTGGTGGTTTTCAAGGACCGAGCGGTCGTTGTAGAGCACTGCCTGCAAACACACACAAACAATCTACATAAGTATGTTTGCAAATGAATCCAACTAGCCTGTGCATACGGTACTAAAACAAAGGAATAAAAAGTGGTATTAGATAATGTAGATAACTTCAAAGTCGTAACAAAAACCAAAACCATATTATGCTTCCAAACTATTGTCAAGTAAAGTGGACTTCATAGTTCTACTCCGTGACAGATAAGCTGTCTTTCAGTATCAAGACATGCTGAGGAAAACATCGTCTCCAACCAGACTGAATAGTACAATTCCACACTTGTGACCTGTCAGTGTCTGACAGGCAATAAGATGTCACGGAAACCGGTGATTGTCTGATTACATTGTCAAAGACTGGTGATTTGCATCAGCTCTGCCAGTGCAGTTTGACAGTGAAACAGACCAAGTGGCAGAAAATAGCCACTTTAAATATCATTCTTCTAATTATTACGCTGTAAAACATCAGAGAGGAGTTTAGTCAAAGCAACTTATGCTTTCTGGTTAAATGTAAGTGAATGAGTATTGCTAGTTTTACTTAATAGCAAATAAATCTAATTTTAATTTTCCAACCACTTTAGAACATCAAAACACGAGTTTAACTTGGAGCATTTTGAATTGAAATGATGAGGTGAATGAATGGACAGCTGAGAATCCTCTCAACACAACAAATTAAGAAAGCATATAGGCACGACTTCCTAGGAGGCATTGTGAGAAATAAAACTGCCCTGTGACTCTTGTATTTTGTAGTTTGAGAGAACAGACATGGTGGAAACATGCTGTGTTTCCCTAACAAGTGCTAAATTAATTTGTGGTTGTTTCTTTTCCTATTAATCAAAACAATTCTAACCATGACAAAGGTTGTTTCTGAATTCAGTCCCTACATCCACAGACTTAGAATTTATCTCATAGTAACCAGGAGCTGCCTCACCGATCTTCTCGGTACAGACTCTGGTCAAAAATTACTTCAACAAATTACACTGTAGGTTCTCAATGGTAAATGATGAAGAAAAATCTTTAAAATTAGAAAGTGTTAAAGAAAAGTCTGTCTGTAACCATTTGTCTATGCAACTAGTTGATTCAACTTAATATCTTGAGTTTATTGAACTTGTTTTCTCAAGTTCAGTTAATTTATTTCTGCTAGTTAAAAATGCGTAGTGCAAGAAAAAACAAACTGTGACTTCAGTAAATCAAGTAAACTTGTACATACTTTCATCCTAATCACATATGGTTTGATATTGTAGGGTGAATAACTCGAGTACCTGTGGAGCGCTGGTGGCTACGAGGAAAGCGTTTGTCCGCCCTGGGTGATCGTAGTCGTGCATCGCAGCAGCCACATAAAGGGCCATGAGCTCCAGAGCAGGTATGAGGCCTGACAGGCAGCCATAACCGTCTTCTGACACAGTGTAGGTCTTTGAAACCAGGAAGCCCATATGACTGTGCGTTATTCCACTGTCGGAGTCTAGCCACGGGGGAGCAGACAAAGTGAGGAGGGTTGAAGAGCAGGGTGGTAGAGTTTACACAGCATATATATGCTACTTTCATGCACACATGTCTGAGCACTCCAGAGCACATACACACCAAAACACACACACACACACACTTGAACATTCAAATCCACTTATATGTGGATCAAAGGGATGGCCCTAGTAAGGCATACAAATTAGGTTATGGAAATATGAGTAAGAGGGAACTCTAATCTGCCTGCAATTTCATGCTGTTCTAGACTTCAAATAGTGTTTGGTACGTAAATGCAAGTGCCAAAAGCCTCAGTAAGATAAGACAAACTGTGAATAGGATAAGAACACACATTCCTGCAGGTCTGATGCCCTGACATTAATGAGATGGCTCACAGTGAGGCTGCAGGGAGAAGAAAAAATCCAAATGAACTCTGGCCTACATATAGAAAACCTTTACTGTCATAAATTATTCATCAAAAGTGAAAACTAAACTAAAAGGTATGCTTATTTGTTTTATTTGTTCCTACATAGCAACTTTTCCAGACTATAATACCTTTCAATGCACTTTTTTGGGCTGATGGATTCACATACAAATCAGCACCCCCAACAGGACTTGCAAATGTCTGCATGCATGTGCTGGTTGGAGGTACCTGAGTCACTGGCAGAGCCGTGGTCAGTGATGAGGCTGGGCAGACCGGGCACAGCCTGCGTGGTGAGGTACCAGACTGCATGAAGCACATCTGTGGCGTGAACCCTGTTGTGATCTGGGTTAGAGAAGAAAACAAGTGTGTTCAGTGTGTGTGTGTGTGTGATCTTCTCCAGCAGGGCGCACTGTTGGGCTGCTGTGTGTCTCACAACAACATAAAGGCAGCATAGGGTCATATATGACTAACACCGGATAGACTGTATGACATTTCCCTCTAGTGGCTGGTTTCATTGTTACAGGTGTAAACAAGATTATAAGCAAAATGAAAAACTTAACAAGCAGTATGAGATTCAAACTTACATGGTATGTCTCTGTAACCATTCTCCAGGGCATGGAAGTAGTTCATGAATTCTTTTACTGGGATCTTAAAGGTCTCAAACAGGCCAGTGTCTTCAAAGAGCCTGTACGATACCTGGAACACAAAAATCCAACCGTCAGAGCGTCTGTGAACATCACCAGGCTCCTTTTTCATTTGATAAGTAAGAGTTTCAATAAACATAAATCTGAAAATCCTAAATCTAAGTGACATGATCGCAGTATTGCAGATAAGTATACTCTATGCGTATCATAGAGGCTTCATTTCCTTTTATTCAGTAATAAATTTAGAAGAATGTTTCTTGGATTAATTTTTGTCTACAGTTGTGTTGACACTCAATCAATAATTCTCGCAGATGTTCTCACCTGACTGAGGATCCTCCCACATTTCCCATTGGTCCTCTCCATCAAGGTGAAGATGGGGAAGTTCCAATTGTTTAGCTGACTCATCAGCGGCTCCAAGTCCTCCATTAATAACGGCTCTGGTGCCAGAATTGGTTTGTCCTGTACAAGTGGCACACAGAGAAAACTGGTGATGACATGAAATACAATGTAAATACTAGATGTCGCAATAATGGTCTGATTATTCATTTGTTTTTTATGTTGCATGAGTTATACAGTATCACAGGCCAGCATCAATGTGACGAAAGGCACATGTGTCTGAGACAGTCGCTCTGCCTCTTCTCACCTCAGGAGGTATTAGTGCGTGGAGGATGACATTCTGGGAAGGGTTTTTTCCTTCCTCAATGTCCTCCCCTGTGTGTGCTACATCGCTGCTGTCACTGTGGTTGGCTTCGTGGGTGCTGTCGTAGTCTGATGACACCACCACTTGGTCCTCTGCTAGTAAAAGAAAAACAAAGAGATGTCACACTGCGCCCTGAGGGGAAAATCCTCTGTTAATCTCCTTAAACTGATGCATATCATCTGGTTTCTTGGGGTGTTGGATTTGCTTCTCTGCTATATCCACTTCCCTTAATCCTGGCTTGCTATAATAGGTTATTTTCTGCAATTCTCAGAATTAAGGTCCCAGAGATGGTGAGTGCTGTGTTAATTAACACTGCAGCATATTTGATTGCTGCCACGCCCCGTATTCAAGACAACTGTGTTTGTTGGCGGCAGGGCTTTAGAGAGCAGTGTGAGTTCTCACTGGATTTCTACAGTAGCAGATTGGTTGGTCACTATTGGTGCCAAATATGTAGGAATTTTTTGCCCTGTGACCACAACTGACTAAATAGGATGTTTACTTTTAGCTGAAAATGGTTAACATCAGTTATCTTCATTTAACAGCACAGCATCAAGGTTTGCTCTTTGCACAGAAAACCACAGAAAATCACAGAAAAAAACAAATGATCCAGATATGTGAGATACATTCAAAACTTCTGTGCATTTTCCCTGCAACATTAATACAAAACTGGTTACTTGGGACAGTAATTTGTTTGGGTTTTTCAATACTGCAAACATGTCCACTGTGCATTAACCCTTTGAACTCTATAAAAATCAAAAAGTTGAATCATTAAATATCAATTTAACAAGTGCTCACAAATACTTGGGGGAAACAATAGTGGCTTTACATATCAGAGATGTTTTATTAGTTACATGTTTTAATTGTTCCCGTTATTATAAAAGCATGGCTTGCATATTCGGCCTAGTTCAGCCAAAAACTCTCAAAACTTTGCCAAATGCCAAAAGGTTGGCCAAACCTTTTGTTCCTTAACAATTCTGGTTACTGGAAAAAGGTTTATTTTAGCAACTTCAAAATCAGACATTTAGTACAAAGTGAATTTCATGATTTATTATGTCTGTTTCCATCAGGAATTATTAGTTCAACCCTAGTGAGGATTAAGCGGTGTACAGATAATGGATGGATGGATTATTAGTTCAAGGATCATCAAAAAGTTGAAAATCCAACAATTCTTCCTGTTTTTATATTTTCTGGCTTTGATAAATATTGTAATTTTAACCATTGTTTTAAGGTAACATGGCTTTCACAACCCGCCAGCAGGTTAAGCTCATATATCAGCACATAGCAATGGGCACAGATCGAGAAAAAAATTGTGATTGAGTATATATGCCCACAAACACTGTTCCCATGCTGCTTGGAGGCAGTAATACTGGTAGAAAGAAAAAAGACTGAGCATACCTGATCGTGGTATCCTGTCTCCCTTGTCTATAGAGCCCTCCCCATGGCTCAGTCTGATGTATGGTCGCCCACAACTGGAGGAGAGAAGGGTTTTGCTGTTAGTAAGATAAAAGAGGATATTTTTTATTAATTCTATTTATGCAGTTTTAACTACCATGTGCGGCTGTACTTGTATTGCTCATGTTGTGGCCACATAAATCTGTTTACACAGTCACATTGCAGGGATCTGCCTCTTTGTTGGGGCATAAAAAGAAAGAAAATAAATGTAAATTATTTAATTTTAGGGCAATGAAAGTACAACCACAATCCATTTTGTCCTCTGATCTGAGAGTTACATCCAAATGTATATTAGAAGGTCCTTTTTTTCATTCTTGGAGGACAGGAAAAGATGTTTATTGGTTTAATTAAGTTATAATGTTGATAATTCTACGCTGGCATTTTTTGTTTGATGGATCAAAAAGTGGTTTAGAGGCCAAAATCTAGAGAGAAAACACAGGGGGGCACAAACACAGCATCCTACATGTGTGTTTGTTTGTCGAAAAACAAAATGTGCAACATTTTCGCTGTTTGTAGCTGCGCCAAAGAATCGGGAATAATGCCATTAACTACATCTGTCTTTGATGTCTAACGAGTCAGCAGAAGTTGTCAAGAAAAAAAACCTTAATGGGATTCCTACTGTGCTGTCCCCACATGAAACAGACGTTGTACAGATGCCTCAAGAAAATACTCATTAATGAACCTAATGGATGCACACATTAACACAATGCAATGGGACCAAACAACAAAACAAATTCAAAACAGTTGCCGGTGCTGCCGTTGTTATAAATGACTCATTAGAAAAGTGAGCCCACCCTCTTAGAGATTTATGACAAACCAGTGTCAGACTTTCTGCCAGCCACACTCTTAAAGACAGATGAAAATATTCACCATTTATCGACTGGTTTCTAAATCAAATGTTGTCCTTTATGGAGAGAGGCAGCCTGTAGCGGCTAGTTAGCTGTGCGACACCGTGGGGAGCCTCCCGAGCTGCTCTCAACAGCTTTTCCATGTTTCTCCACTGAGGCCACTGTCAGGCTGTAGGTGGTTCCAATTAAAATACCTCTCCCTAAATGTTGTAAAACCTGCCTTCTCGGAGCAGGAAATGCCTGCCGTTAGAGCATGGTGTCACAGGGAGCACAAAGGCCTGTAGTGTGTCTATCTCCTTCTGATAAAGTGTTTCTGGAACACTTTTCCGCCGTACCCACCCAGCATAATGGTCCTGAGGCCCCAACAAAGGGAGTTCTGTTGTGTTTGCATGGCCAGGTTGGACCACTGTGTCTAATGCCTAGCAGGTGTGGAATATAAAATAGTTTGATAGTTTGGCGGGTGAACAGTTAGTACATTATTGTCAGGGGGGTCTGGGCAGGCAGCAGCGCTTGGCTTAAAAGGTTTACTTTTAATGAAAGTTGAAGAACTGGCAGACACTTTTCCTATTCTGCTAATGCAGCAGAATAACCTCAGCTACTGACATTGAGCCTTCAGCACAGAATGTAAATAAGGAGGCCGGCCATTTTCACTTGAGGAATCTGTCAGTCAGGTATCAAGTGACTCTGCTTTTATCACAAAAAAACTGTGTAGTTAGAGCAGTTAGCAGTGTAGTTACAGTAATTTAACTGTCCCAGTGAGATATACCAACAGCACGGACACAAAATACACATCCCAGCACGCATTTGCTTCAACCCCCGTCTCCTAGAAATTACATTTTTATTCTAAGAACTTGTTTTGCCTGATAGCTTTGGGAAGAATGTAACTGCCGCCTGCAAATATGTTTGTTCTGTCAAGGAAAGAGTCTGCATCCTGCTATGTGGTTACGTTCAGCCAAAAAAACAGAAACACTTTGGTCAGGGTTAGGAAAAGATCATAGTTTCGGCTAATTACTGAAAAAGTAAACACATCTTGTCTCTGTGGATTTTTTTTTTCTTCATTTTTTTCCTTTTTTATCATACAACCAAAACCACAATGTTTCTGTAACCTTAACTAAAGTAATACTGTGAGTGTCTGAACACAACCATGAATACGTTCATTATTCTGTCA